TCCATCCCTCTCCTAGCACTGCCCGTGCCCCCTCCTGCAATGGCCCCTCCGGCTCCTGCCCCTCCTGCCCACCAGCCCGTGCAGCCTGCCCCGATGCAGCCTGCCCCCCATGACCAGGTCCGCCCCCGCAGGAGCCGTCGCAGGAGCCACCCCTCCGAGGAGTAGCTCCTCCCCCTCCTGGTTGAAGGTCTCCTCCCCCTCTTCCCCTCGTAAATAAAAACATACAAGGTTTTCAGTTGAAAACAAAACGGTGTTGGTTATTGTGTTACTCGAGGTAACCGTAATAAATGATTTGAGATGCCAATTAGCCAACTAAATTTAAGAGGATTACAAAATGCGGACACCAAATACCGTATCTGTCATCAGTCGTTCCTTTAATTGGTCATTGGTTTGTGGCGCATAAATAAATACTGACACTTTTAAGTAAAATTTAAACCACAACTATATTAACATAGATAACAAGCAAGAAAGGTTAAAAGACACACCATCCTGGTGTGTGGGGCTGTTCAAACATCTGTGCCTTGGCTGCCATCCATGCAGGGAGGAAGGCCTCCCCACTCCACAATGTTGTGGAGCACGCAGCATGTGGCCAGTACCTACGTTGCATTCCGCTTACCCATCTCGAGACGGGTGAGCAAAAAATGGAAGTGGGCTTTTAAGCGACCGAAGGTGCATTCCACTTGATTTTGGGCCCAGTTGAGGCGGTCGTTGAACCGGGCCCAGTTCTGCTCCGGCCGCCCCATGTAGGGCCGCATTAGCCAGGGCAGCAGGGGATAGGCCGCGTCCCCGACGATGCATACGGGCATAGGCACATGCCCAACAGTCAACTCCCGCCGGGGGAAGTAGGTACCCGCCTCCAGTCCGGAGTTGCGGAGGATGCGGGCGTCGTGTGCCCTGCCAGCCCAGCCCACGTAGACATCCAGGAAGCGGCCCTGGTGGTCCACGAGGGCCTGGAGAACAATCAAGCAGTACCCCTTCCTGTTCATAAAATGGGCTTCTCGATGCTCCGGGGCCTGGACGGGGATGTGGGTTGCATCCAGGGCTCCCCCACAGTTGGGGAACCCGAGGGCAGCGAAGCCGGCCAGCGTTGAGTCCACGTTGCGCAGGCGGATCACTCTCGGGAGCAGGACATCATTGATGGTGTGAACGACCTGCAGAAGGGTGCAGAGAAACACAAGAAAACACTCACATAAGGCAGGGGTGAGTGTGC